GTGTGTATATATATATATATATATATATATATATATATATATATATATCACACGCATCACTTTTTGTGTTCTATGGAAGAAAGTTAAAATATAATATCAAGTCAATACCGTTTTGGAATGACAGGGTGAGTAAATAATAACAGAATTTTCATTTTTGGGTAAACTACTCCTTTAACACCTCGTCATGCTTAATCTTAATCATCTTTCTTTACGATTTACTTCCACTAATACAGAAAGCTACTGAGAAACTAAAAGCAGAAGAGAGGAAAAAAATGGCTGAGATGCAGGCAGAGTTAGAGAAACAGAAGCAGCTAGCTGAAGCTCATGCCAAGGCCATTGCCAAAGCAGAGAAAGAGGCACAGGAGCTCAAGCTCATGATGCAAGAGGAGGTTAGCAAACGAGAGATTGTTGCTGTGGATGCTGAAAGGCAAAAACAGAACATCCAGCTGGAGCTGCACGAGCTCAAAAACCTCTCCGAACAACAGATCAAATCAAAGAGCCAACAAGTGGAGGAGGCTTTACAAAGCCGGGTTAAGATAGAGGAAGAGATCCGCATCATAAGACTTCAACTGGAAACTACATTGAAGCAAAAGTCCACTGCAGAGGACGAGCTCAGACAGCTTAGAGACAAGGCTGCAGAGGCGGAGAGACTTCGCAAAGCTGCTCAGGAAGAGGCTGAGAAACTTCACAAGCAGGTTAACGAGGAGACTCAGAAGAAGCGGATGGCGGAGGAAGAGTTGAAGCTGAAGTCTGAAACAGAGAAAGAGGCTGCCAGGCAGAAGCAGAAAGCCCTGGATGACCTTGCGAAGCTCAAGATGCAGGCAGAGGAGGCAGAAAGACACATGAAGCAGGCTGAGATCGAGAAAGACAGACAAATCAAGCTCGCTCAAGACATAGCTCAGAAAAGTGCTGCTGCTGAGCTGCAGAGCAAGCGCATGTCCTTTGTCGAGAAGACATCCAAACTTGAGGAGTCGCTCCGAGAGAAGCACGGGACTGTCGTGCAACTGCAGGAGGAGGCAGAACGCCTCAAGAAGCAACAGGAAGAGGCAGACAAAGCAAGGGAGGAGGCTGAGAAGGAGCTTGAAAAGTGGAGGCAAAAAGCCAATGAAGCCCTTCGTCTAAGGCTCCAGGCAGAGGAAGAAGCCCACAAAAAGACTGTTGCACAGGAAGATGCTGAAAAACAGAAAGACGAGGCTGAGCGTGAGGCCAAAAAACGGGCCAAAGCTGAAGAGTCTGCCCTGAAACAGAAAGACATGGCCGAGCAAGAGCTGGAGCGGCAGAGGAAGCTGGCAGAGAGCACAGCGCAACAGAAGCTATCCGCAGAGCAGGAGCTGATCCGCTTGAGGGCTGATTTTGATCATGCCGAGCAACAGAGATCACTGCTCGACGATGAACTGTACCGTCTAAAGAATGAGGTTAGCGCTGCAGAGCAGCAGCGGAAGCAGCTTGAAGATGAGCTTTCCAAAGTTAGAAGTGAAATGGACATACTTTTGCAGCTGAAGTCTAAAGCTGAAAAGGACAGCATGTCCACCACTGAAAAGAGTAAACAACTCTTGGAAGCTGAAGCTGCTAAACTGAGGGATCTTGCAGACGAAGCAGCCAAGCTCCGTGCCATTGCTGAAGAGGCAAAGAGACAGAGGCAGGTGGCTGAGGAAGAAGCAGCGAGACAGAGAGCGGAAGCTGAGAGAATTCTCAAAGAGAAACTTGCTGCCATTAATGAGGCCACTCGCTTGAAAACTGAAGCAGAGATTGCTCTAAAAGAAAAAGAGGCAGAAAATGAACGCCTGAGAAGGAAAGCTGAGGATGAGGCTTACCAGAGAAAAGCTCTTGAAGATCAGGCAAGCCAGCACAAGCAAGACATTGATCAGAAGATCGAACAACTCAAGAAGTCCTCTGAAATGGAATTAGACAGACAGAAATCAATTGTGGATGAAACTCTCAAACAGAAAAGAATAGTTGAAGAGGAGATTCGTATCTTGAAAATGAACTTTGAGAAGGCTTCATCTGGCAAGCTTGATTTGGAGCTTGAACTGAATAAGCTGAAGAATATTGCAGAGGAAACACAACAAAGCAAACTGCGAGCTGAAGAGGAAGCCGAGAAGCTGCGCAAGCTTGCCCTTGAAGAAGAAAACAGAAGAAGGGAGGCTGAAGAAAAACTTAAAAAGATTACTGCCGCAGAGCAGGAAGCAGCTCGACAGCGCCAGGTTGCTCAAGAAGAAGTGGAGCGTCTCAAAAGGAAAGCTGATGAGGCCAGAAAGCAAAAAGAAGATGCTGATAAAGAAGCTGAGAGGCAAATACTCGCTGCAAAAGAGGCTGCTGAGAAAGCAATTACAGCTGAGCAGCAAGTCCAAAGTGTTCTTGTTCAGCAGAAAGAGGACAGCCTGGTAAAGGAAAGGCTCAAGGAGGAGTTTGAGAAAGCCAAAAAGCTTGCCCAAGAAGTGGAAAAGGCCAAAGAAAAGGCAGAGAAAGAGGCTGCCCTCCTCCGCCAACAAGCAGAAGATGCAGAGCATCAGCGTCAGGCTGCTGAGGTTGAAGCAGCCAATCAGGCCAAAGCCCAAGAAGCCGCTGAGAGGCTCAGAAAAGAGGCAGAGCTAGAGGCAGAAAAGCGTGCCCAGGCAGAGGCAGCAGCACTGAAACAGAAACAGCTAGCTGATGAGGAGATGGCTAGGCACAAGACACTTGCAGAGCAGACACTTAAGCAGAAGTCTCAGGTTGAGCAAGAGCTCGCTAAAGTGAAACTGCGGTTGGATGAGACAGACAAACAGAAGACTCTCCTAGATGATGAGCTTCATCGCCTAAAGGACGAGGTCAGTGATGCTGTTAAACAGAAAGCCCAGGTAGAGGAGGAACTGTTCAAGGTCAAGATTCAAATGGAGGAGCTCATCAAACTCAAGCTCAGAATTGAAGAGGAGAACCAACGTCTCATCCAGAAGGACAAAGATAATACTCAAATATTCTTGGCTGAGGAGGCTGAGAACATGAAAAAACTTGCAGAGGACGCTGCCAGGCTCAGCATTGAGGCCCAGGAGACTGCTCGCATGAGACATATTGCAGAGACTGACCTTGCCGAGCAAAGAGCACTTGCTGAAAAGATGCTTAAAGAAAAGATGCAAGCCATTCAGGAGGCCTCTAAACTTAGAGCAGAGGCAGAAATGCTACAGAGACAGAAAGACCTTGCCCAAGAGCAAGCTCAAAAGCTGCTTGAAGACAGACAACTGATGCAGCAACGGCTTGAGGAGGAAACTGAGGGCTTCCAAAAATCGTTGGAGGCTGAGCGCAGAAGACAGTTGGAGATAACAGCTGAGGCAGAGAAACTTAGACTTCAGGTGTCCCAGCTCAGTGATGCTCAGTCTAGAGCTGAGGAGGAAGCCAAGAAATTCAAGAAGCAGGCAGATGAGATTAATGCCCGACTTCATGAGACCGAGCTTGCCACCAAAGAGAAAATGACAATTGTTGAAACATTGGAAATACAGAGATTGGGCAGTAACAAAGAATCAGATGACTTGCGCAAAGCCATTGCTGATCTTGAGAAAGAGAAGTCAAAATTGAAAAAAGAGGCTGAAGAGTTACAGAAAAAGTCCAAAGAGGTATTGTGTAAAAGATGGCATAAATTGCTGCTCATGTCATTGTTAACCCTCTCTCCGAAAACTAACATTGCTTTAAATCAGTTCCTTTTTTGTTACAAATGTTCCAATCTTTGATTATATTCCCTAATGATTTCTCATTAATCTTAAAATGGATATTTACATCATTGAAAATTATTTGTCTGAATGCTTTTTTAACATTGTTTTAACTTTGTTCATTGTTTCTTCGTTTACAGATGGCGAATGCTCAGCAAGAACAAATTAAACAGGAGAAAACATTTCTCCAGCAGACATTTATGTCAGAAAAGGAGATGCTGCTGAAGAAGGAAAAACAAATTGAGGATGAAAAAAAGAGGTTAGAGAGCCAATTTGAAGAAGAGGTCAAAAAGTCAAAAGCCCTTAAGGATGAGCAGGAACGTCAAAGAAAACAAATGGAGGATGAGAAGAATAAACTGAAGGCCACTATGGATGCTGCTCTGATAAAACAGAAAGAGGCTGAACAAGAGATGCTCAACAAGCAGAAAGAGATGCAAGAACTTGAGAGGAAAAGGCTTGAACAAGAAAGGGTTCTTGCTGAGGAAAACCAGAAACTGCGTGAGAAACTTCAGCAGCTTGAGGTTGCTCAAAAAATCACCCAGGAGATTCACATCCAGACAGAATGCAAAAAAGTCCTCAATGGTCAAAGTATTTCTGATGAAGTTGACAGCACACATGGCTTCTCTCCATTATCCTTCGATGGCATTCGTGAGAAGGTGCCTGCAAGTAGACTTTTTGAAATAGGACTTTTAAGCAAAATGGATTATGATAAGCTCCAGAGCGGTGAAACCACAGTCGAAGAACTCAGCCAGACAGACAAACTTAAAACAGTTCTTCGGGGCAAGAACTGCATTGGTGGCCTGCTTGTGCATCCAAATCAAAAAATGCCCATCTATCAAGCCGTCAAGGAGAAGAAGATTGCTCCTGGGACTGGGCTAGTGCTGCTGGAGGCACAGGCTGCTTCTGGATACATAATAGACCCAGTTAAAAACAAGAAACTCTCTGTCAATGAGGCAGTTAAAGAGGGTCTAATTGGACCTGAACTTCACAACAAGATGCTGTCTGCGGAGAGAGCTGTCACTGGCTACAAGGATCCATACACAGAGGCAAAGATCTCCCTCTTTGAAGCTATGAAGAAGGGTCTCATTGGGGAGGATCATGCCATCAGGTTGCTTGAGGCTCAGATAGCAACAGGTGGCATTATTGATCCAGTCAATAGTCATCGTGTGCCAAATGAAATAGCTTATAAGCAGGGTCAGTTTGATGCAGCCACCAATAAAATCCTACAAAATCCAACAGACAAAGTCAAGGGATTCTATGATCCAAACACCCAAGAAAATCTGATGTACCAACAGCTACTAGAAAGGTGTGTCACTGATCCAGGAACAGGACTTCTACTTTTGCCCATTTCTGAGGAGGCTGCTCAAAATGCCAGGATATTCACAGATGAGGAAACAAGAGATGTGTTTGACAAGACAACTGTGTCTGTGCCATTCGGCCGTTTTAAAGGAAAGACTGTGACCATATGGGAGATTATAAACTCTGAGTACTTCACTGAAGACCAGAAAAAAGATCTTATCCGCCAGTACAAAACGGGAAAAATTACAGTTGAAAAGATCATCAAAATTGTCCTAACTGTGGCAGAGGAAAAAGAGAAAAAGAATGAACTTGCCTTTAATGGCCTGAGAGCACCTGTACCTGCTACAAAACTTCTTGAATCAAAAGTTATTGACAAAGATATCTATAACAAGTTGCAGAAAGGACAACTGCTGGTAAAAGACGTGTCTGAGATGGAGCATGTGCGCAATGCCTTGAAAGGCTCTAACTGCATTGCTGGAGTAATTATTGACTCAACCAAACAAACAATGGCCCTTTATGATGCCATGAAAAGAGACATGATGAGACCTGGGCCTGCTCTTAATCTCTTGGAAGCACAAGCTGCCACGGGATATGTCATAGATCCTGTTAAAAACCAAAAACTTACAGTAGATGAGGCTGTCAAAGCAGGTGTTGTTGGTCCAGAACTTCATGAAAAACTGCTGTCTGCAGAGAGAGCTGTCACAGGCTATAAAGATCCTTACACTGGAAAAACAATTTCTCTGTTCGAGGCTATGAAGAAAGACCTGATCATGAAGGAACAAGGAATTCGACTGCTTGACGCACAACTGGCAACCGGAGGCATCATTGATCCTGTTCAAAGTCACCGTATTCCACATGACATTGCCTGCACAAAGGGCTGCTTTGATGATGCAACCCAGAAGTTTTTGAGCAGCCCAAGTGATGAAGTTAAAGGATACTTTGACCCAAACACTCAGGAATATCTCACATATCCACAGCTTTATAAACGATGTGTCACTGACAAAAAGACTGGCCTTCAGCTTCTGCCTTTGTCTGAACAAGCTATCAATGCCAAAGAGGAGATGAAGTACACTGATGCCCAGACCAAAGACGCAATGACTCAGGCAACTGTTGAACTTCAAAGTGGACCATTCAAAGGGAGAAAAGTTACCTTATGGGAGCTCATTAACTCTGACTATATCACTGAAGAGCAAAGGCTTGACCTAATAAGGCAATACAGATCTGGGAAAATGACAATTGAGAAGATTATAAAGGTTTTAATTGAAATTGTTACTAAGAAAGATGCCAAGAAACAAGAAGAGGGCTGCTTTAAGGGACTTAGGGCGCCAGTTCCAGCCAAGTCATTATTTGACTCCAAAATCATTGATAAGTCTACCTATGATTTGCTGGAACAAGGTAAAAAGACTCCAAAAGAGGTCAGCAAAAACGCTTCAGTCAACAAGTATCTCCAAGGCTCTGAGAGCATTGGTGGACTTTACCTTGAGCCTACAAAAGAGAAAGTTAGCATCTACCAAGCAATGAAAAGGAAATTCCTCAGACAGAACACAGGTATTGCCTTGCTTGAAGCTCAAGCTGCCACAGGATTCATTGTGGATCCATCAAGAAATGAATGTCTCACTGTGGATGATGCTGTTAAAGCAGGTCTTGTTGGCCCAGAGCTTCATGAGAAACTTCTCTCTGCTGAAAAAGCTGTCACTGGATATAAAGACCCATTCACAGGCAATAAGATATCCCTATATCAAGCCATGGACAAAGACCTCATCCCCAAAGAACATGCCATGCCTCTCTTGGAGGCGCAACTGGCATCTGGTGGAATTATTGATCCAGTAAACAGTCATCGTATTCCTGCTGAGACTGCAATCCAGTGTGGATATGTTACCAAACAGCTGGCTAGCAGCATTGCTGAAAGCAAGTACTTCTCTGACCCTGCGTCTGATGAGAATGTATCATACAAACAGTTGAAAGACAAGTGCATGGCAGATCCTGATACAGGCTTACATCTACTAAAGCTCTCCAAACCACAGGCCCCAACGGTTGTGGAGAAGACATACCTTTACAGTGAAGAACAAACCCAGAGTGATCTATCCAATACCCAGATTGACCTACCCATTGAAGGTCAGGGCTCTATGTCTCTCTGGGATGTCATGAATTCAAATCTACTACCTGAAGATCTGAGGGCTCGGGTTCTAGAAGAATATCGTTCTGGCAACATAACAAAGGAACGAATGATTATCATTATAATTGAGATTCTGGAGCAGAGAGAGATCATTAAAGGGGGGAGCACCCAGACCGGCAGCACAAGTAGACGTCAAATCACTATTGAAGATCTCTACAATGCCCGTATCATCGACCTTGAGACTTACAACCTGCTGAAGAAAGAGAATAAGACTATGCGTGATGTCATGGATATGCAAAGAGTTAAACAATATTTGTATGGAACTGGCAGTGTTGCTGGTGTGGTGACTGATTCAAATTCCAAGATGAGCATTTATCAAGCAATGAAGAGAGAGCTGATGAAGCCAGACATTGCAATGGCCCTCTTGGAGGCTCAAGCAGCCACTGGATTCATTATTGATCCTGTCAGGAATGAAATGCTCACTGTAGATGAAGCAGTGCGTAAAGGCGTGGTGGGCCCAGAACTTCATGATAAGCTCCTGTCTGCAGAGAGAGCAGTCACTGGCTATAAGGATCCATATAGTGGAAAGGTGGTCTCCCTCTTCCAAGCAATGAAAAAGGACCTTGTCCCAGAGGACTATGCCCTAAGGCTCCTTGAAGCACAAACAGCAACAGGCGGTATCATTGATCCAGAATATAACTTCCACTTGCCAACAGAGATCGCCACACAACGTGGATATATTAACAAAGAGACAAATGAAAAGCTCTCAGTTGAGGTTAAGGGATTTGTAGACCCATTGAATGATGAAAAAGTTTCATATTCTCAGCTTCTAAAAAGATGCAAGGTAGACAAAGATGGGCAATATCTGTTGTCTCTAGGAGACAAAAGACTGCTCTTCAAAGGTCTCAGAAAAGAAATAACAATAGAAGAGTTATTCCGCTCAAAAATCATCGATGAACAAACAGTCAGCAAGCTTAATGAGGGATTACTTACAGTGGAGGAGGTGAGCAATAGCTTGCGAAAATATCTTGAGGGCTCAAGCTGTATTGCTGGCGTGTTTGTGGAGTCTACTAAAGACCGACTCTCTATCTACCAAGCCATGAAAAAGAATATGATCAGGCCAGGCACTGCTTTCGAGTTGCTGGAAGCTCAAGCAGCCACAGGTTATATCATTGACCCTATCAAGAACCTCAAGTTAACTGTAAATGAAGCAGTCAAGATGGGAATCGTCGGTCCAGAGTTCAAAGATAAGCTCCTGTCTGCTGAGAGGGCTGTGACTGGCTATAAAGATCCTTATACAGGCAAAATGATCTCCCTGTTCCAGGCTATGAAAAAGGGCCTGATTTTGAGAGACCATGGAATTCGCCTTCTTGAGGCCCAGATTGCTACTGGAGGAATCATTGACCCAGAGCAGAGTCACCGATTGCCAGTTGAAGTGGCCTACAACCGAGGCTTTTTCGATGAGGAGATGAACGAGATCCTCAGTGACCCATCGGATGACACCAAGGGCTTCTTTGACCCAAACACTGAGGAGAATCTTACCTACTTGCAACTGATGGACAGGTGTATTGTCGACCCAGACACAGGTCTTGTGCTCTTGCTTCTTAAAGAAAAGAAACGCGAGAGACAGACGTCTTCCAAATCCTCTGTTCGCAAACGCAGAGTCGTCATTGTTGATCCTGATTCGGGTAAAGAGATGTCTGTGTATGAAGCCTACCGCAAAGGACTAATTGACCATCAGACTTACCTTGAACTTTCAGAGCAAGAGTGTGAGTGGGAAGAAATCACAATGACATCATCAGAAGGGGTTGAAAAGTCTATACTCATTGACCGAAGATCAGGTCGACAGTATGACATTGATGATGCTATTGCAAGAGGTCTTATCGACCAGAGTGCAATTGAGCAGTACCGCGCTGGCACCCTCTCTATCACAGAATTTGCTGATATGTTATCTGGAAACATGAGTGGCTTCCGTTCCCGCTCCTCTTCATTTGGTTCCACCTCCTCTTATCCAATGAGCCCCATACCTTCCATCAAAACTCCTGCAACTGTATGGAATGATCCAACTGAGGAGACCGGTCCTGTGGCTGGAATCCTTGATACAGATAGCCTAGAAAAAGTTTCCGTCACTGAAGCCATGCGTAGGAACTTAGTGGATTCTATAACTGGCCAGAGACTGTTGGAGGCACAGGCTTGCACTGGTGGCATAATAGACCCATCTACTGGAGAGAAATTCTCAGTTGCCGAAGCCACAGAGAAGGGTCTTTTAGACAAGATAATGGTTGACAGACTCAACTTGGCCCAGAAAGCTTTCCATGGGTTTGAGGATCCTCGCACTAAAGTCAGAATGTCTGCTGCTCAGGCTCTCAAGAAAGGCTGGCTTTACTATGAGGCAGGGCAACGTTTCCTGGAAGTGCAGTATCTCACTGGTGGCCTTATTGAGCCGGAGGCTGAGGGACGAATCTCCCTAGAGGAGGCAATCAGGAAAGGTGCTATTGATGGCCGTACAGCACAAAAGCTCAGAGATGTGAGTGCTTACACAAAATACCTTACTTGCCCCAAAACCAAACTGAAGATCTCCTACAAAGATGCCATGGACAGAAGCATGGTTGAGGAGGGATCTGGCCTTAGGCTTCTGGAAGCATCATCAGTATCCAGTAAAGGTCTCTACAGTCCTTACAATGTCAGTGGTGCCGCATCTGCTTCTGGTTCTCGGTCTGGATCCAGGACAGGCTCTAGGTCAGGTTCAAGAAGAGGCAGCTTTGATGCTACTGGCTCTGGATTCAGCCTGAACTTCTCATCATCCTCATATACTTCCTCTGGTTACAGCCGCAGATTTTAAAGCCGGACCTCAAAACAAACCTACCACATGGTCCTGCAGCTTTCATTATCAATGCTGACTCTATACACTACAGTTAGATAAGACACAGAAATTAATTCAAGAAAGAAAAAAAATAATCACTTTATTCTGCTTTGCATGTGTTTGGTATAAGAAATTGCATTCCAAAAACTACCAGTATCTTTTTGTCTGGCAATGGTTAAGTTCCCATTTTATGTATTTTAGAACTATTGCCTGGTTAGCTTTAATCATAGTTGTCTAATTTAGGTTTATTTCAGTTCATACATATATTGCATATTTTCAAAGTGATATTTTTCTTTTCTTGTTTTATACTAAGTACAGCATCTAAAATCAGGAAAAGTTCAAATACAACAAATTACATTTTGGAGATTTTTTTTAAATCAAACTCTGATTAGACTGTATTCAATATTACTTACTATTACATTTCTACATGTTATTTTAGGAAATAATTTTTATACTTGGGTTTATTTAAGCATAATGTACCAGAAAAATATACCAAGTTTTACAAAAAAAGTAATTAGATTAAGAAAGAGTGTGGTCGTTTTTACATATTTGTATAGATTTGATGGATGGATATATTAGAGGATGCTAGCCATCATAGCAAATAAAAGTTGCCGCTGGTTTCACAGAATATAAAAAAAACCACTACACCTATACATAAACACTAAAGGAGGAGCAAGCACTTTGTACAACAAGCCAATTTTAATGTCCCCTAAAACTGGATGTTATTTTTGTTATGAAAGTCCATTTTTCATTTACTGGATCCAGTCCGTCTCCAAAGTCCTTTTTAAAAAAAAAAAAAAGGAGTCCTCAAGGCCCAGATTTACTGTCAGTCCTCCACTGATGTGATATCCAATGAAGATTTCAGATGGTTCAGGTGTCTGATCCATTCCTCACTCACAACATCTGGGCAGATCTGGATGAAATGTAGTACTTGTAAGTTGAACTAAATTTACATTTATTGCCGCTGTTTCCTAATGAGCACATTGATTTTACTTTTCTATATTATTTTTATTGTCTCAACACCTATCACCTTCTTTTTTAACAAATTGAATGCCATACTGTATGTCTGCTTATTCTAAAGGATTTTCTTGACAGCATTAAGCCATATAAAAGTTCTTGTGTCGTTTATAGTGTCTGTTTTGTCGTGTTTTTTCTCTCACAGAGATCATCGGTTACTAGATATGGACACCTTGATGATGCCTCACATTTGGTCTTGGATCTGGAGATGAATGATGCTCATGAGAAGCCCACATTCTTAGACATTCAGGTATTTATTAAATATTCACCATCTCTCTATGATTTTGCATTGTATGCACCTATGTTTGATATTTTTGTTTCCCTTCACTGTTTTGTTGCCCTTTTGTCATTTTGTTGCTTCACAGTCTATTTTTAATGTTGTTTTTAGAGCCTCACTGAAGGTTTCCTCCTTCCATTGCATCTGCCATTTGCATGAAGACACTAGAGGCTAGGGCTACCTTGAAGTTTGCCTTGGATATCATATCAAGAACTGACACTTTAGTGGACTGCTCCTGTTTTCATCAGCTGGGAGCTGGACTTTGGAGTTTACACAAATCATTCAAAACAACAAAAGAATTGGATCCATTAAATTGATCTTAATGTGGACTTTTATGTAGAATCTCAAGAGTTCTATTGCCTACATTGTTTCTAGCCCCAATATGAGTTTTTAAATAAAGCACTCAATGCATTAGATACAGTATGCAAACCATTGTATTGCATTACACATTTACATAATACAAATAAATACTGATTACTTCTTTGACAATGTATTTAGGCTCATTTAGTGTACGGCAATTTAATTTTTCATTTGTACATTTCCTGTGCCAAAAAACAAAACAAAACATGTTTTGGTCATTTGCTGCCTCCCATGTATTTCTTTGCTGGTTTTTATATTAATTGTACTTGACTTGACTTTTTTCTTTCTTTTCTTTTTTTGATGTTGTATATGTAAAATATTTTTTGCATGTTTTACTAACTTGCTATAAATTGTTCTAAAAAGATGAAGAATAGATTTTTGAATTTACACCAATATATGGAAGATTATATGACTAAAAGATGTATGAAATACTAACTGGTGGATGAACTTTTTCCTTACGAGATAGTGGTAATAAAGAGTGAGTTAATAGCACTATACTCAAGTGTAAATAAATATTATTTTGGAAAGATCACTTACAGACTTTGTAGAGTTTGTGTTTCATCTTTTATCTTGTGTTTAATCTAGATGATCATCCATGTCACTATGACATTCCAATATATAAACAGTATACAGTACACATATTTCTAGCAATCATATATCAGAATACTTTTACAAAGTAAGCAGTTAAAGAACAAAGATGAGTAATCACCAGACTTTAAACATACAGACAGGAAGTATGTTGCTGATTAGAGAAGCAGTCAGTATTCAGTGGATGCTGTCCTCTGGTGGTAGGGAGGTTGAATGACAGGCTCAGATGACATTATGTTAAATCTGTAGGATGAAAGACAGAACCCAGAAGGAGACACATTTATGGATGGCCTGCCTTTGTGCCATTCCACTGCCGACAGCCTCTCTGGACCTCCTGCATTAACTGTGCCCATGCTGCATGATGGCAGCTCTATGGTATGTCTTCAGATCAGCAGAGAGATAGAATTATTTTTTTTAATTAATTTTAAAAAGTCTTGCTGAAAATATTCCATATGCAAATAATAGTGAATTGTGAATGAATCAATAAGTATGTGCTTGTGGTGTAATAAGCGTGTGTTCGGTTGGTGTCCCTCTGTTTCAGGAAGCAGCTGCTCAGAAAGGAAAACGGTATGGGTAAACTAAACATATAATGTTAATTTCCCATTTTATATTTTCATTTAATAATAAACCCCATATATTTTTCAATTAAATCCCACAAATGTAATGCGTTAAGGCTGCAGGTCATGTCTGAGCTAAAGTCTAATAGTGTAATTTATATTATATTATATTATATTATATTATAGATAGAATTATTTTTTTTAATTAATTTTAAAAAGTCTTGCTGAAAATATTCCATATGCAAATAATAGTGAATTGTGAATGAATCAATAAGTATGTGCTTGTGGTGTAATAAGCGTGTGTTCGGTTGGTGTCCCTCTGTTTCAGGAAGCAGCTGCTCAGAAAGGAAAACGGTATGGGTAAACTAAACATATAATGTTAATTTCCCATTTTATATTTTCATTTAATAATAAACCCCATATATTTTTCAATTAAATCCCACAAATGTAATGCGTTAAGGCTGCAGGTCATGTCTGAGCTAAAGTCTAATAGTGTAAATTATATTATATTATATTATATTATATTATATTATAGGAGATGAGCGAGAGGGGTTATCATGATTATGTTTTACCACTGTAAAAAAAATTCCATAAAATTTACGGGAAAAAACCGGCAGCTGTGGTTGCCGAAATTTTACCGTAAAAAACACGGTAGCAACATTTTAGGTTTTACGGTTTTAACTTAAATTTACAGTTAAATACCGTAATTTCATTAACTGATATAATGTTAATATACCAACCTATTGAAGTACTGAAATCTGTTTTGTATCTTTGTAATACACTGATAACCACCAAAAGCAGGTGGTGATGAGAAAGTCACATGATGAACCAAAGCCCATCACAAGCAGCTTTTAAATAATAACATATATAGAAGGTGCACACAAACACTAAACACCATCATGGTAACACACATGAAACTGAAATAATGCAATAAACATTCATTTAACAACATTAGGTGTAACATATAACCCTAATATACAAAACTGATAAGAAAAAAACTAAGAAGAAACATAGTTATTTCAACAAAAAAACATCCAATTTGAAATGTAATGCAGGGAATTCTGGGAATGTCAATTTATGGTTATTCACTGTAAATTATACGGTCTTTTTCACTTCCATTCACTTCATGTAATGTCCAATACAGTTTTTCACCGTATGTAGTAGGGTAATTTACCGTTAACCATTTAACAGGTTTTTACTGTAGCATTTTTACAGTACTTTACCGTTAAATTCACGGTCATTTTTTACAGTATAAATATGTCAAACCTTTTTCCACTGAATTCATCGTCACAGTTATGATTTATAGGCTTTAACCCATTCATGGAAATTTCACCTAAACTGCTATATATTACTGACATATTAATATCACTGACATTAATTACTGACATTGACAAGATGCAAGCTCTGCTAGCGCTGATTATATTAAAATGGAGCAGAATTTCATGGTGTGCTAAAATCCATGATATAACAGTTATGATACACCTGCTAACCACATGCCTGATAAAAATCCAGACTAAAGCAACCTAGACTGATTTGCTGGTCTTAGCTGGGCGCTCTTCAGCTGCTGAAACTGGGAGACCAGCTAGACAGTCAAGACCAGACAAAACCAGCTAAGACCAGCAAACCATCTCAGGCTGCTTTTTTCTTCTTCTTCTTCTTCTTCTTCTAGCAGAAAGACAACATTACATTGATTAATTTGTGCCCTGTGTGAATTTTATGAAATTATTAAGGCACGGAGGCTGTGCTGAATATAGTCACTCCACTCTCTGTCATGTCTAACAATATACTACATTCACAATACAGCACAGCCTTGTATACAGTACTGTTTAATTATCTATTCTATTCTATTCTATTCTATTCTATTATGACACACTAAAGGGCCTGTTGTCAAAATGTTGTTTTCTTTTGCAATGGGTAATAAAAGACAGATTAACTACATACACTAGTCAACAAAACAGACAACAATAGACAGAAAAATATCCATAAAATATAAAGACATTAGAAAAAAAAAAAACGATAACACTTCAGTATAGGGACCAATTCTCACTTTTAACTAGTTGCTTATTAGCATGCTTATTATTAGTGCATGACCATATTCTACATTCCTAATCCTGCCCAATACCTATTTAATAACCACCTTACTAACTATTAATAAGCAGCAAATCAGGACTTCATTGAAGCAAAAGTCTTAGTTAATGGTTTGTTAATGGCCCATGAAAATAATATATATTTGATATTCATTTTTGAGCTTCTTTTGAGCTGCTTCTTTGTCACCAGTCTTCCCACCGTATATGTGAGGTGAATGTGTTCTTGTACTGTTGCTAGGATGGATTCAGAGGAGTGGAGTCAGTGGCAGAGTGAGTTCAGAGGGCAGATCAGGGCTCTGCGACACTGGCTGAAGACCATGGAGAAGAGACTCCCTCCACCGGATCCTGCTGTGAGTCTCTCACATACACTCCAGCCCAAACGTCTGAGGACACTTCTCAAACTGCTTCTGTTTTTTATTATTTTCTATCAAATGTATTTATTTATTTAAAAACATTTATTTGTTCTTATTTGAGAATGTCCCAATAAACATCACGTGCTTGCTCAAAGTCACCCATTTACTTACATTTAATTAGTAACCAATAAATAACAAAAAATCTAAAATAGTTCTTATTCACATTTCTTTTCATCTATCGATCATTTGACTCAAAGTGCAAATCAGTGGGGGGAGTAAAAATCAGGATTAGGCATAAAATAGGGTCTTCAGATTCATTCATAAATGTGGAAATGAGCTGAGAATTGAACAAATAGTTGCAATCTGGCTCAGATGAAGACAGGAATCATGTCTGATGATTAAGGAATAATACATAGAATACACAGGGATAATACTTCACCTTACAAATGGTTGTCAACAGCAACAATGCTACGAAATGCCCCATATTTTGTGAGAAAGTGTGATGTGCATTATTATTTTGAATTGGCACGACAAATGACTAAGAAACCAGTATTGGATTTTCTTCAGCAAATTTGATGCGGGGCGGTGATTTCTGTTTTAGACCGCTGGATCCCTCTTCACACAAAACATACATTTTATTATCTTCTGTTACTTGTTATACAACAGCTTTTTATTTGAATATTGAATAAGCTCAAATTTCTTTTGTGCCATTACTGAGACAGTCTTTAACCGTCTCCACCCAGGCTTTCCATCCTTTTGTCTTGTGATGAAGCATAACATCTCACTTCTCAAGACATCATACTGTAAGGAGATTAACATCAAGGTTTGGAGAAAAGTGGAGAGACATTTATGCCATGGGGCTTTTGTCCTTGGATTTAAGACTAATGATCTTTATTTATAACTAAAACCAAATATATATATATATTATTATAATTTTTTTTCAATATATATATGTGACCCTGGAGCACAAAAGCAGTGTTAAGTCGCTGGGGTATATTTGTAGCAATAGCCAACAATACATCGTATGGGTCAAAATTATAGATTTTTCTTTTATGCCAAAATCATTAGGATATTAAGTAAAGATCATGTTCCATGACGATATTTTGTAAATTTCCTACCGTAAATATATCAAAACTTAATTTTTGATTAGTAATATGCATTGCTAAGAACTTCATTTGGACAACTTTAAAGATGATTTTCTCAATATTTAGATTTTTTTGCACCCTCAGATTCCAGATTTTCAAATAGTTGTATCTCAGCCAAATATTGTCCTATCCTAACAAACCATACATCAATGGAAAGCTTATGTATTCAGCTTTCAGATGATATACAAATCTCAATTCCGAAAAATTAACACTTAAGACTGGTTTTGTGGTCCAGGGTCACATATGTGTGTGAAATATTCTTATAACATGACCACCTGGATAAAAAATACATGAAAAAAGCACATGAGTCCTGTCCTGAGCACATCCGGAATATGCAGGCCTCTTTGTTGAGTGGTAATTGTGTGGGCAGGGGCCTTTTTTTTGATGAGAAAAAAGCTGATCAAAGGCGGCAATGTGAGGCTTGTAACACACTGTCCCCATGGTGCTGGGATAAGCATCTCTATCAAACATGCTCAAAGAATATGCTTGAGCTATAGCCATAAATCCCCCAGCCCTGGAGGGCCGTCCTGCGAGAGGAGAGCGAGGCGCAGCTCCTCAGAGGAGAGCTCTTTTGTGTTGAGGCTGGTCGAGGAGAGCGGGGAGCAGGTTTGTGTGGGGCACATGAGTGTACCCCGCGTACACATGAGAGAGCACTCTGAAAGCACATTAGACTCCGATGAGATGCTGACGGACCGGAGAAAAACACACCGTCTTACAGTGGACGTTCTCGTATCTGTCCACAATGGAAATGTTGAAACACTCCTCTCTCTGCTTTATCTCTTCAGTGTCTCGCTCACGTCAACAGTAATTGAGCCGTCCACTGCCAGGCTTCATGGACTTGTTTTGTACTTACAGTCTACAGAAGAACATATGAAAGCTTATTTCCACCGAGGAAAAGAAGTAATTGCAACTTTTAATCTCAAAATTGTGAGAAATTCATGAAAATTCAGAATTATGAGATATAAACTCACAATTGCAAGAATAAAAAATTCAAAAGGTAATTGCAATTTATCATCTCACAATTCTGACTATTTTTCATACAATTCATAGTATATCGCAGAATTCAGATTTTTCCCCTCACGATGCTTATAAAAGTGAGAATTGCAAGAAATAATCTTGAAATTGCCAGAAAAAAAAAGCTGTTTCTGCCGAGGAATAAAAAATAAAAAAGGTAATTACACATTTTTATCTAATAATTCTGACTATTTTAAGTTTAAATAAGATAAGTTTAAATCCAAATTCCAAAAAGTTCAAATTGCAGGAACTGTGAATTTTGTGATAAAATGTCAACTTTTTTTTTTATTCCTTGGTGAAAATACATAGAAGCCCGTTTCCGTCGCTGAATAAAAAAATAAAAAAAGGTAATTGCTGACTTTCTCAGAATTCTCAGAAAGTCGCAATTGCATGTTATAAAGTCAGAATTGCAAGATAAAAATTCTGAGAAAAGTTTGTCTTTTTTCCTCAGAATTGGACTTTAATAACTGGCAATTGCAAATATTTATCTCACAATTCTAAGAAAAAAAATCTTAATTGAGATATAAACTTGCAAATTTGTAAGAAGAAAAGTCAGAATTGCGAGAAAAAAGACAAAATTGTGAGATAAAAAGTCACAATTAATTGTTGCTATGATGTTGCTGAGGTGGTGGCTTGTTGTCAAAAGAGTCTCTGTGATCTGATCTGGTTCCTAAATATGGCTCAAGTTCCTCGTCCAGTGTCAGTCTATGGGATTGTTGCAAGTATATTGTTGGAATTTTAACTGTTGTTTTGTTTTACAGGTGAAAATCCTTAGGGTTAGTATTAGTATGAGCTTTGTCACTTGTAGCAAACTATGCCAAATTTAATTACAAAAACTTTATTTTCAGTTTTGGTGTTTTGTGCATCACTAAAGTGCTGTTCACTGCTTGGTGTCATCGTTTATGACTGGAGTCTGTGGGTCCGATTCTTGCCCAGGGCCTCATCCATTGCTTCCTGCTAACGGTGAAGTCTTTGTGTGTCTGTGTGTCTTTATCCTGAGCCTGTGGCAAACTCTGCATCTCAAATGAGCCTCGCACACATAACCTGCAAACAGAGCCGTGATGGAGCAGGGTGAAGGGTTACGGCACAGCACGGTCTCCTTTTCCCCGTTCAGACCCTTATAATGACAGCCACAAACATCAGCTCCCTCCTCCTGTGCAGCGCTCCTCAGACAAACACACTTCACACTCAAGAGTTTTTAAAATGTGTTTACTGTTTCAGTAAATAGCCTATTTATTGTTGTAACCTGACTACATAAACTTTGGACAGCACACAAGTAACATTAAGTTTCATACACTGTTAAATGAAAATTGGGTCACACTTTAGTTTGAGGACAAGTTCTCACTATTAACTAACTATTAACTTTTGCCTCAGTCAACTCCAAATTTGCTGCTTATTAATATTTAGTAAGGTAGTTGTTAAGTTTAGGTATGAAGTTTAAGGATTAAGGGATCTAAAATATAGTCATACAGAATAAAGCATTAATATGTGCTTTATAAGTACTAATGAACAGCCAATATGCTAGTAACATGCATGCCAATAAACAAATAGTTAATAGTGGCAACTGGTCCATAAAATAAGGTGTTACTGCAAATTGGTAACACTTTACAGTAAGGTCCCATTATCAATGATAGTTAATGCATTAACTAACAATGGGCAATGCATTTATTGTTTATTAAATGTTGTTACAACTATTCAATGTTAGTTCATGTTAGTTTGCTTAGGTCCATTAAATAATAATAACAGATGCAACTTTTGATTTTAATAATGTAGGCCTATTAGCAAATGTTGAAATTAACAATTTAGAGCCCTGCATTTCAGGCCTGGCGTTCAAATGCGCGCAACAGGCTAAAGCTTGCCGCAAAGCACCGGCAAAAGTAATTACCATGAATGTGTCAGGGGGAAATAGTAAGGAGATATTTGTATTATTTATTAATAAACTAGTGTTTTCTGAGTCTTTGTCACAAGGATGAAGTTGTCGATCCTGACTCGCCATCTCCTCATTAGACGCGCCTTTAGAGAGAAATGAATCTTTACGGATTATGATTATAATGAAAGACTTTTTGCTTTCTATTTGTTTTATTTCTTCAAGTGGTAATTTAAAGCTTTCTGTAGATATATTTATCCTGACTGTGAGGCATTCGCTGAGTTTCGGTTCATTTTTGTGAAGTGCTCCTGTTCAAGACCGAGACGGCAGAAAGCGCATCATGTTTGTTTTCTTTATTTTATAAAAGCACAACGTTTTGTTGATATTGTGAGTGCACACAAATAAAAATAGACCCTTTACAGTTCTGAATTATGTATTACTCTTACCTTTATGAGCAAAAATGACAGCCTATTTGAAGTTGTTTATACGACTGACTTTGTATTTAATGTGAATTTAATAACAATATTGTAAGTTACTAATTAGGCCTGTAACACTTTTCATTTTACAGAGAGCAAAGAACAACATTATCAAAGAACATTTTCATTCAGTCTAACCAGAGTTCAGGCACTCTCAAAAACTCCCATTAAAATCACTGAAGCTGTTTACACTGTG